GTGGAAGGCCATGTGGGGTCAATATGAGCCTGAAAGTCCCCAACATGATTTGGTCCAGCATCACAGCTATTCAAGCTCTCACTAATCAGTCGGGAAGTCTGGTGGTTAAGCCCGAAGAAATCAGCTGTGCCTCGGATTCTTTGTTTCTCAGCCTCAGTGAAGACAGGGAGTCTTGCCAGCTCTTTACCACAGAAATCTTTCTTTTTTTCAATTTGTTCCTTTAGCACGGCTGGATAATCTCCATCTACAAATATGGGGTGAGCAAACCAGCCCAGCATGAAGTTCAGATAACGCTCAGCTGCTGCTACATCCTGATCACTTGAGGGATTCAACGGCTCTGCCCAATCAGCGTGAAGAGCAATGCCCACTTTTCCACCATGCAGTTTCCTGTATTTATCATTATAAATATGCCAGGCTTCAGCATGAGATTTCAGAATGTTATGCGTCACCTTTGAAAACAAGCAAAGCACTGTCAATATACACTTTCAAAAACCATAAAATAGATGGTTCTTTCTCAGATTGACAGACACACCTTGTAAGAGGCTATTATTGGGTCATTCATACTTGGGGGATGTTCCCCTGTTCCATACCCCAGGTTGCTCACAACCCAGGGGCTGCCGAATGTGATCCATGTTTTGACTCTGTCTCCATAACGAGAGAAGCAAAAGTCAGAAAATTCTTTGAAAGCTTCCACAATAGAGTCATTAATCCAGCCTCCTGAGTCCTGCAGAGCTTGAGGAAGGTCCCAATGATGCAGGGTAACAGTGGGCTTGATGCCTGATTGTAGAAGGGTGTTAATCATCTTGTCATAATAAGCAGCCCCCTTTTCAACCAAACTTTCTCTGCGTCCAGTTGGGAAAATGCGAGCCCAGGAAATAGAGAACTGATAATTAGCTGCCATCATGCCTCTAAGCAGATACACATCATAGTCCACCTTGTGATAACTATCACAGGCCAAATCAGTGGTCTGGTTGTCAAACACGTGACCCTCTTGGCTAAAACGGTCCCATATGGTCTCACCCTTTCCGTGTTCAGCCCATCCACCCTCCACTTTGAAACTCTCACTGGAGACGGACCATTCAAAATCAACCTGGAATGAGCCACTCAGGAACTGATCGCGCTCAGCTTCGGTTTGACTTCTGAATTTCTCCCATACCTTCTGGTATGAGAATGCAGAAGCTGACTTCTGATGGACAACAGGTTTAGTATTTTCCTCCTGCAAACTAGATGAGAACATTATTATTTTCACTTAAAAAATAGTCATTATATACTGCATATATTTACCTTTTTTGTTCCCAGCTTTACCTTTTGAGTGTTTCTTCCTGATCTAGCTTCTCAAACAGCTGTGTGATGTCACAGCCTATGATGTGAAGATCTTTGTTCTGTAAAACTGACATCCATAAATACTAGGTTACCACATGGTATTAGAATTTGGACCCATAACTTAAAGAAATAAGATAACATTTACCTCCAAGAATTGTAGTAAGTGGCAGGAAATTATTTTCATTTCCATCACAGTCCTTGACTGTCAACTGATACACAAGAATGGACTTTTGAGCACTGCCAATCTGAAGCAAGAGTGTCAGTGTCATTTTGGTGACCTGAAATATTTTCTGTGAAATCTGATGGCTAGGGCTGATCTATTGCGAAGATGATTATATAATCCTTCAAGAGCCATGTAAATCACATACCTGTAACTTCCTCAATTCCTCAGTAAGAGCTGTCTGCAATTTGCAGTTGTACTGCACGTGTACAGTGAGGAAATCCACATATGCCTGGTGGTGAGATAAGAGAAGTATGTGATAAATTAAATAATATTAACTATTACATGTAACTATATATATATATATATATATATGATAAACTGCCTTGAACTTTTACCATGATTTCTGACCCCACTTGAGAAATCAAGTTAACATCATTGGCTCTGATCCCAAGAGACAAATTAAGTGCTAAAAAAAACACATCACTATGAGTGACCATCATTGCACTATTATAAAGAATGTAATATGGAGACAGAGGTTAGTTACACTTTTATTCCAGTGAATATGATTAAAATAATATAATTTTTATTTTGAAAGTCTTGCCCACAAAAAGCTTTTGAACATTTCCAACACATTTCCATTGACCATGCACATGCTGCAGGGTAAGTTGTCATAATGGACCATAAAATTAGCTATTTAGTGGTCTTTCAGCTATATTTAACCTATAAAACAATTGTGCACATGCTACTTTTGTATACACCATACAACAATAACAAACCATTATATTGTTTTACAGAAATCATAAGTAATAATTTGAATAAAACTACATTCAAGATGCATGTGACAACCTGCTTGGGGACTTGAGGGAAAAAAACTGCATGCCCTAAGAAACTTTTCAAGCTTTCATAATAGTGTGGTTTTATTGAGTTGTGTAAATTGGACTTTTAACTCAAAACCTACGGAGTTACTGAGACAACTAACCCTGTTCTGGTTTGTGTAGGCCTACATATTAAACAAATTAATAAACTCAAGTCTTACCTTCAGACATTTGATGATAGACATTGTAAACGTTTGCATGGGACTGGAGAGCATTTTGAAGTTGCACTTCATTGTGTAGCTCATGCAGGTGACTGAACGTGACAAATGTGTCCACAAGATGACTAAATGTATTGAACACAAATCCTGCATACTGCTCAAACATCTGCACCAGTAATGGATTCTCCCAGCCTCCATATCTGGCTCTGAAGACTTCTGGTACAGCAGAGTGGTGGAGAACCAGCAGAGGTTTGATGCCCAATTCAGTCAGCTGCTGCACAAGTGTGCTGTAGCATGTCACAAAGTCCTCATGTGGCTGGTTGGAGTCACCTGTGGGAAGGATGTGTGACCAGGAAAGGGGAACCTTAAAGTGGGTCACCCCTCTGCTCCGAAGATAGAGAAAGTAGTCTCTGGATTGTTGTGGAAGTGGACCTCCGCAGTTAAAAGTATTGTCTTCATCTGAAGACCCTAAAGGTAAAGTTTGCCCGGTGGTCAAAGGGCCTGCAAGTAACATGAACTCCTGTTGCTCTGCATTGCTGCAGCTCCAAAAAACAGCCAACCAACCTAGAGAAAGAAATCCTACCAGGACCTTCATCGTGACAAGTGTTACAAGCGGAGAAGAGTTCTTTATAACCACCTCAGCTAATCTAATAGTGAGGCATTCAGTGTTACAATCATGCAACTCAACCCTAATAATATATCTTATGGCAGTCATTAAGTTATCATATAGACTCTGGACTAAGATAAGTGTGATATATTGTAAGGTTATCTCTAAAGAAACACTGGGGTTACTAAGAACATTTAAAATAAGTGAAAACATTTTCCCCTCACTTCTACATTAATCTTTAAAAGAAATTCCTCCTTTCCATTCGTGCAAAATTGTGACATCCACAATGCCCATCAAAACATTAGGGAAATCACAAAAGAGAGCAATAGATTCAGTGTGGGCAAAGACATTAAGTTTTATCTACCAATCCTTAACTGGCAAAATTGATATCCAAGTACTTTGTACTAGAGTGACACAAAGATGTTTACAGATGGCTGTAAAAAGTTTAAAAACAGAGTTTCCTGTGAAGCTCTACAGTTGCTTTCCAGGCAAAGGCAATAACATGAAACTAACCAAATACTTGTAGATTAACCAGCATATACACTCACCTAAAGGATTATTAGGAACACCTGTTCAATTTCTCATTAATGCAATTATCTAATCAACCAATCACATGGCAGTTGCTTCAATGCATTTAGGGGTGTGGTCCTGGTCAAGACAATCTCCTGAACTCCAAACTGAATGTCAGAATGGGAAAGAAAGGTGATTTAAGCAATTTTGAGCGTGGCATGGTTGTTGGTGCCAGACGGGCCGGTCTGAGTATTTCACAATCTGCACAGTTACTGGGATTTTCACGCACAACCATTTCTAGGGTTTACAAAGAATGGTGTGAAAAGGGAAAAACATCCAGTATGCGGCAGTCCTGTGGGCGAATATGCCTTTTTGATGCTAGAGGTCAGAGGAGAATGGGCCGACTGATTCAAGCTGATAGAAGAGCAACTTTGACTGAAATAACCACTCGTTACAACCGAGGTATGCAGCAAAGCATTTGTGAAGCCACAACACGCACAACCTTGAGGCGGATGGGCTACAACAGCAGAAGACCCCACCGGGTACCACTCATCTCCACTACAAATAGGAAAAAGAGGCTGCAATTTGCAAGAGCTCACCAAAATTGGACAGTTGAAGACTGGGAAAATGTTGCCTGGTCTGATGAGTCTCGATTTCTGTTGAGACATTCAGATGGTAGAGTCACAATTTGGCGTAAACAGAATGAGAACATGGATCCATCATGCCTTGTTACCACTGTGCAGGCTGGTGGTGGTGGTGTAATGGTGTGGGGGATGTTTTCTTGGCACACTTTAGGCCCCTTAGTGCCAATTCGGCATCGTTTAAATGCCATGGCCTACCTGAGCATTGTTTCTGACCATGTCCATCCCTTCATGGCCACCATGTACCCATCCTCTGATGGCTACTTCCAGCAGGATAATGCACCATGTCACAAAGCTCGAATCATTTCAAATTGGTTTCTTGAGCATGACAATGAGTTCACTGTACTAAAATGGCCCCCTCAGTCACTAGATCTCAACTCAATAGAGCATCTTTGGGATGTGGTGGAACGGGAGCTTCGTGCCCTGGATGTGCATCCCACAAATCTCCATCAACTGCAAGATGCTATCCTATCAATATAGGCCAACATTTCTAAAGAATGCTTTCAGCACCTTGTTGAATCAATGCCACGTAGAACTAAGGCAGTTCTGAAGGCGAAAGGGGGTCAAACACAGTATTAGTATGGTGTTCCTAATAATCCTTTAGGTGAGTGTATATATATGTATGTATATATATATATATATATATATATATATATATATATATATATATATATATATATATATATGCACAGAAAAAAAAGAAAAAGAACAATGACACATGAATACAGTTTTAGACCAAAGGTTTATTTTGGCATATTACAAAATACATTTTTACAAAACCTTACAAAACCATTAGAAAAATGTAAAAAAATTGAGATGCTGGGAAAAAAGTATCAAAAGATGGAAAACCTGGCTGTTAACAGACATGGGTGGATTATACTCCTACACTTTAAACTGTTTCAAGATGACATATTGCATTGGTACCATGTATAAAACTTTCGGCTTTATGGCTTTCCTTATTGCTATTCAATGTAAACTGCATTTGGACCAACTTACGGTTTGCATTTGCATAAAGGAGGCAACGATATACACTAATCTGAACAGAAACTATTTAGAGAAAGGATGAAATTGAAAACCAATGAAATGAAACGTTCTTTATTAGTGCTTATAAATGTGTAAAGATAATCTCTGAAATCTGAGTTTGCCTCTAACAGTTGGTCAAATGAAACAAAAGCCAAAGAAAACCAAATTAGCTTAAAGCCTCACAAAATGTGAAAAACTGAAATGATAGTCTACGGAGAAGCTTCCTCAAGATAAGAGGGGTATCAAAATACTATTAATTTACATCTAAAGCACACAATATGCAAATAAAATATCAAAAGCCTCTTTGTAGATCAATAATTGATTCACAAGTATTCAAGCATTTTCCAGGTTCCCATTTTGTTCATTACAAACACACTAATTGTGGTCCACTACTCAAAACACAGCACTATTCTAAATAACTACACTACATTTCTGACGTGGCTTTATACTGGCTCATCCATCTCATTTTGGAATGGCAAAGGTAATATGTAAACTCCAGTTTAAGGCATTTTTGAGATGTAACCCTTGGCACTTCATTAGAAGTGTGGTAAACAAATGGAAGAACCACTGATTAATTTTTCCTATGAAAAAAGAAAAGAAAAAGGGAGAGATAAGAGACAAGAGGCATTGCAGTCGCCTAGTGACCGAGTATAACAAACATCTTCCTAACTAGCCTTAGGGCACTTTGGAGTATCAGGCAGACCGGCTAATGTCAAGTATAACTGGCTGGTGAGATGCTGCTTCTGAGATGGACTCGACGTTCACTTGCCATAATACTGCACAACACATTATCACAGATTCACCAGTGTGCATACAGACACAGGTTCCACTCAGTCTCACGATGCTTCACACAGTGTTCAGCAGCCAAACAAAAAAATACACAATACACACATACAGACTCTTTCCACTTTCCAAGATGAGCAATTCCAAACCCACTTGGGCCACTTCGTTGAACAGGAAAGCAGTTGATAGTCTCTGAGCCTCAATCAGGCACGGATCCCTATGAGAGAGAGAGAGATAAGGCAAAATAGAATTAAAACACGAACACATCTTTATTCTAAGAAAATAACAACATTAATCTCTATTTACTGACTTTTCTTAATTTTAAATATATATATATATTAGTGCTGGGCAACGATTAAAAAATGTAATCGCGATTAATCGCATGAATTTATTGCGATTAATCACATTGTTACGCGCAAGAGTGAATAGTGAATTCTAAAGTAGTGTATTGCGCACTTTTGATTTAAATATACTGCTATATACACAAAAGTGCAATAACATGTGATTTGCCAAAACTTTAAACAAATAAGCTGCTTTATACCAGCAGTATTCCCTTTACACAGTAGCAATAAAATATTTATTGTAAATCTCAACTTAAACAATAATGTAATCAAATCAAATATTAAAACAAAGCTATGCCACTGCCAGGGCATTACCTTTTACCTAGCTTGTTAAAACGATCCCAGTTTTCTTGTTTTTCTTTCCGAACAGGTATCAACAGGTATCTTTTATCAGGGAGCAGCAGAAACAGTCTATGTAGTCAGAGGTCATGACCACTACTACAGATATAAGTCGACCAACGTTACTTCTCTGATAGTAACTTAGGTTTGGTCATGACATGGTTTCCCACGTACACTAAGATTACATTAAACAGATGTAAAGCCCAATTTATACTTCTGCGTCGAACTCACGGCGTAGCTACGTACCTGCTGTGTGTAGCGCGCGTACCCTGAAGTGCACCTCTCCAAAAATGTAACAATGCGTCAATTATACGCGTACCGCAAGCGCTGTGATTGCTAGAACCGACAAGCTAGTGCGACAAGCGAGTGTGTTCCTGTGAAACTGTTGCGGTCATGCTCGCCTCACGCACGCGCCCGCGCCCTCCCGTTGCCGAAGTTGAATTGACGACGCGCAGCACATATCATTGGAAGAGAGACTGATCCTCGGCTCGCTGTTTGTGAGTTTCCACAATCTAAATAGTTATCAGGACATCATCAACAGAAGGGAATTCACATGGCAGCGCATCTCCACTAAACTAAACGCAGGCCTATCAGGTAAAGTTATGTATAATTTTAATTTAAGTTAAAAAGGCTACAGCTGCGTACATAGCGCACAGAAGCCGTAGCCATGGTTACTATCCATAGAGCGCCTGTCATTCACTCGCGGAGCGCTGTCTCCCTTTCTGTTCACCTGAGAGAACCTGCCAAAGCCTCTCCACTGCTTGTTTGGGTGGGTTATTTGCTGGCTGACCAACATCCCACCCCTCCTGTGATCCATGGTTTGACTGTAGGCTAGGGATGTCAATTTTCACAAATTCCCATGATCGATCGTCGTTTAAATTAACGATCAATTAATCGATTAATCGTTAGCCTTAATACTGCAATATGCGTCTGCTGCAGTGCATATGGCCAACAGCATGACAGCGTCTGCAAATGCTGCTCAAACCGCTATGTTCCTCACCAAATTAATGAGAATGGTTTTAATCTAAATAAAGGGCTAGTAGGATTGTAAAATGTTTCGATGTGATTGATAATTAAATTTCAGGGCTCGAATTTCGGCGCGGGATTGCGGGTATTGCGCATAATTCTAATAATTCCCACAGGTCTCCCATTTATAATGCAGGAAATTCCCGCAATCGTAATCCACACAGATTATAAAATCAAATCATTCTTTTAACAACTATCTGCCAGGCGCAATTTCACAAACAGCGTGAGTGTTCAGCGGTGCCGCGCGCATCTTCTATCTCTTCTCTCAAAATGTGTTGTGCAAGGCAAGCATCAAGCGCTGCGGCGATAATACACACTCGCGTTTAGGAGTCGGGACATGACGCAATATTCACTTGCACAATCGGGCCAGCAGTGCATCGTGACTAAAGTTTACCATTTGCACGTCTTTTTAAGTCTTACCAGTTTAAACATTCAAGCGATTTTAAACTAATCAGTGCTCGCGCTCTCTGAGATGATTTTCTATGCGCACATTCATAGAAAATCCGCCTCAAAAACAGCTGGCCAGTAACAAAAGTTATTTTTCGCGGATTATATTGCTTTAACACGCAAAATTGTGTCAATTTCGGTCTTCGTGAGTATATTCTAGTCGGTTTTGTCTTTTAATAAGCATAAAACGCATGCCAGTATAATGAACACAGGATCCGTGCATAGCTCATTAATTTAGTTGTCAAAACAACAAAATATAGCTTTAAGTTAAAGGAATCAGGATTAATAGCCTATATATATTTAATTTATTCAGGACTAAAATACTACCCAGTGTTATTTTCCATTTGATTACTTTATTCAGTTTCTGTGGGCCTATATGAAGTTAGACCCATTGAAAAACTTCTCTTTATTTGTCTTTATTTGTATCTTTATTCTATTGTATTTATTTGTGCTACTTTTTTCAATTTAATTAAACAGTTTAAATCAAGCTTCCTTGTGTTGTGTAAACTCTTAACAACAATATTACCCCATTGTAAAAATGCAATGAGCGCAAACATTTAGGCAAGATAAATGTAATTTTTGTTTGGAAAAAATGCCCCCCGCCCTTCTCCCCCTCAAAAAAAAAATCCCCCCCATGAGAATCATCTAAGGGGGGATTTCCCCCCCATTTTCCAAAACGAAATTCAGGCCCTGAATTAAATTAAATATTTAATAATCAAATATAACGACTAATACAACGTGTCACCAACGCCGCCTCAGATGCGCTTGTCAGAATGTGTGACTTGTGGACGCGTGCTCTTCCTGGAACAACGCACTTAAAACGGCAACTAAACCCAATGAATTCACACCGATTTAATAAAATAGTGTTCTCATGTTATGTAATATGACAGTCCCAAATTAATCCTCGTTATTAGTCGTGCATTCTGCTTGAGCGGCGCGCGCTGAATGAATAACTTAACCGTTGAGCACTTTGCTAGCACGTTATTTAACTCAAAGAAACGCATCCTATGAGATTAATCAGATATATACAAAATAAACATAATATTACAAATAATATCTGCACAAAATGACGTGAATGCACAAGTGAACTTGAACTAAGTTACGTGCCATTCAGAATGACTCATGTTGTGGACGCGCTCTTCCTGGAACAACGCGACACGGCAACTAAACCCAAATAATTCACAATGTTTTATTACAATATTGTTCTCTTTATAATGTTATATAATATGACAGTCCGAATAGTCGTTATTAGTCGTGCATTGCCATTTGAGCTGCGCGCGCTAAAGATCACGCTGCGTCAATTCTTAACCAAATGCATCCAATATGAGATAAATCAGATATAGATAGGCACACACAAAATAAACTATTACAACTTACATTTGCACAAAACAAAAGGCAGCGAATGCACACGCAAAACTTATAGTCATGATGAAGGTGTAAAATAGTCCCAAACATAACTCCGGCGCGCTCGCTTACATGTTTCGCGGTTGAGCAGCACGCACGCGCATGAATCTGCTTAATCGATGATCGATAAGGTTTATCGATTAAACGTGTTATCGACAATTAATCGATCATCGATTAATCGTTGACATCCCTACTGTAGGCCTATGTGTATTCAGAGCCAGTGAGCAACGGACTTTCAAAATAAAAAAAACTGCGTTTTTATAACGCGTTAACTTGCCCAGCCCTAATATATATGCGTGTGTGTGTGTGTGTGTGTATGGTTCACATTTACTCTATTTCTTTACAACAAATTAAAAGTACAAACTACAAAAGATTTTTTTTTTTCACTTTTTGGTCTAACCTTTTTCACATGTGCTCCCCTGCTTCTCCTGAGCGAAGTTGAGTCTGTTTTGCTCGACAGCGGTGCCGTTGGACTCTGGGCTGCTGCTGCGTAAAGGACTGCTCTCACCGTTCTGATAGGCCATATCTAGATGCTGCTGGGCCAGTTTCAGGTGTTTACGCAGGTGGTCGATCTCTCGCGATGATGACTTATCACGAAAAGACTCTTGACAAGAGTCCAAGTTATACTCCGGTTTGATTCCCATGGACAGCTTGTCTTTTTTCAGGGCAGTGTGGTACCCTGGCGGGGCAGTGGGCACCTGTCTGCATATGGCACCACGTTGGCGTGCAGCGCTTTGTTGGCGCGCACGTCGCCGGAAAGCATCACGGATTCCACTGAGGCCCAAATGAAGAATCTCCAGCACCGTGAGAGACAAGCAGAGACAGCTCACGGCATACATGATCAGCAGGAAGATCGTTTTTTCCGTGGGACGCGACACAAAGCAGTCCACCGTGTGCGGACAGGGGCTGCGAGTGCACACGTACGAGGGGGCGACCTCAAAACCATACAGGATATACTGGCCGAAGAGAAAGCCCACCTCAAAAACAATACGTGACAAAAGCTGCAGGACGTACACCTTCATGAGCCCATCCCGCTTTATTCTCCGTCGTCCATCGTGTTTATGGGCTGGCTTCTCAGGCGCTTGCTTATCAGGCGCTTTCTCTTTCTCTGACAGGATCTCCTCCATCATCATGGGGTCTTCCTCGCCATCGTCCTCAGCCTCCTCATAATTACGGTTGGCTCCGCGGTTGATCATGGGCATGCGTTTCTTGTTCCTCGGCCTGTACTCCTCATCATCCATGCGAGCGATCTTGTGCATAGCAAAGCCAAGGTACATAATAGTAGGGGTTGTGATTAGAATGATCTGAAAAATCCAGAACCGGACATGAGAGAGTGGTGCAAATGCATCATAGCAGACGTTCTCGCAACCAGGTTGCTGGGTGTTACACTTGAATTTGCTCTGTTCATCGTTGTATATTGATTCGCCGCCCACAACAGTCAACACAATGCGGAAGATGATGAATAACGTAAGCCAGATCTTGCCCACAAAGGTGGAATGGTTGGAGATTTCATCCAACAGCCGTGTAAGAAAGCTCCAGCTCATGGTGCTCCGAGAAGAACGGCTGTCTCAGTCCTGCACGAGAACAAGACATTAACTGTTAGTAATTGAAAACAGCATCTTTTTTTATTAAATACATTACATCCAATAATAAACATGTCATGAAAATAGCCCATCTTCCTATAACATGACTGACAAAAGCTGTATCACTAATAAGAGGAAATTAAGTGCTAATTCAATAGTAAGAATGAATTAAATGGTAAAAATCAGGGCAAAGCTAATTTATAATTTCCCAAGGATTCTAGAAAAAAAATGTTGAGACAATGAAGTCTGTTAAAGGTCCTTTCCTCCATCAGGAGGAAAAGCCTGGATTAACCAAAAAGATCCTCTAGATGGAGCTAAAAGGTTACTTTTCTAACAAGCTCTTTCACAGAAACACCAAGTAGGCTAAGACTAAGAAGCAGAGATGGGACCAAGTCACACATGTGCAAGTCTCAAGTAAGTCTCAAGTCTTAACCTTCAAGTCTCAAGTAAGTCCCAAGTATTTTTTTCCTGGGCAAGTCAAGTCAAGTCAAGTCACAGGCTATGTCAAGTCAAGTCAAGTCAAGTCTTGTAGTAGGTCAAGTCAAGTCCAAGTCAAGTCACCTTATTATTGTAATTTTACCTGCAGAATTTGATCTATGGGCGTCAGTTTGGTTTGAAATGAACAGAGGCGCATTCGGAAGTGCATTTGGGAACAATGACGCATTCATTCACTTTTCTCTTTCACGCAGGTCATGTTTTGAAAGATGGTGTCCTGTAGCTTACTAATTTAAAGAAATAAAAATGTATACAAAAATGTGATGTCCGACTTCTTTTATGAAGAAGAAAGCCTTAAAGGGGTCATATAATGGTACATGCACTTTTACAAGTTGATTGTACTGAAAAGTGTGTTGGCAGTGCCTGTACACAACCATCATATAATGATAAAAATCCATCCAGTGGTTTTGTTTTAATCTCCTTATATGTTTTCCCCTGCCTCAAATCGAGCCGTTCGAGCCTGTGACGTCACAGGCTCGGAAGCCCCTCCCACGATTGTTGAATGACAGCCGCGTTTCAACACAGACCCGCCCTCGCTCGTGAGAGCGAGCTGTCAATCATAGTCTGCGCGGACCGGCGCGGTCATTGTTGATATGCTGGAGCACTGTCTATGAGCAGAATGGCATCTAAGCGATTGTGGTGTTCTGTTCTTGGGTGTAATAACGAACACAGCAGTCATTTTAATGTTCCTAAATCCGAACCGCTGAAGACGCAGTGGCTGAGTTTGTTTTCGAAGGGAATATTCCCCACGAGCAACGTCAATGCTCTCATGTTTGCCCGAATCATTTCACACACCAGACTGCTTTATAAACGAGGGTGAGTATAAAGCTGGATTTGCTAAGTAGCTGCTCATGAAAAAAGATCGGTACCAGATATTCGTGTTCCTGCTGAATCTCCAGAAGAACTGAAGTGAGTGTAACGTTTTATTAAACTTTATATTAATATTTATATCTTTGCAAATCGCTAGCTGCACACTTCACAATGAATGCGTCTAAGGTTTACACTCAGGGTACATTACGGCATGTTTTCTATGTATGACGTTCTCAATATAATTCATAATTCCACGTTTATACTGAACAACGCGTTATGGTTATTGTGTTATTGTGTTACAAACGGTGTACGCACAGAACAGAGGGGCGGGGTGAGCGAATTATCATTTAAAGTCATATGCACTGAAACGGCGTGCTGAAAACAGAGCTGTTTTTGACCAAGTAAAATAAGTGTTTTCTTACAATACTAATGAGAATTTTTAATTAAAGTATATTACAAACTTTTAATTTAGACCCTAAAGAATCATATTAGCTTGTACAAAAATGGCATTATATGCCCCTTTTAAGTTTTCAAAAAGCATTAGACATATGACCCACTATTCTGCTTCGTGTAAGTTATTTATCAATGAATTCAAACGCGTTGGCTGGCGCTGAGCCAGAGACATACGCTCTCAGTGCTGTCATATATCACAACTGTTCAGTGTTTTCAACCACATCATTTTTATTTTAGGTTTCAGACATTTAAATACACATAACTACTAGCAAAAAATATATTTGTAGTTTGTAAAATATACACTGATGTCTATGGAAGCGTCAATAATAATAATTTCCATTATAATAAGACGCACGTTTTATTCATATATACACATTGTGTAAGTAGCTTTACATTTTACCCTATTCTTCTCCCAGTTCACCGGTCACTTACTTTCATGTATTTCGTGAGAAGTTGAGAAATTGACGTGTTGTAAACTAACGTTAACATGGCACCGCCCATTCGCACATACAGCTCAACTAACGCGATCATTATAAAGGTGTTTAAACAACAAAACACATCCACTTACACATATTTGACAATCGGAATATCAGTGTTGCATGTTATAGCTAATACATTTGTGAACATTTTGAATAAAACAGGAAAAATGACATAAAAGCAGATCATTCATTCAGCGCTGTGTTGTGGTTGCGCTGTGTCACTTGACAAGCAATGACGCGTCACCATGAAACATTAAAGTGAGTGACAGGTTCTAAATAACGGTCGCCTAGAAAAACTCACGCTGGGGGATCAGTTAGAATAGTTTAAACTTACTTGTGAAAGGGTTAATGGCTACTTTAGCTATTACATTAGCTAACTACCAACTAACATTAACAAATTGACAAGCACTTACTGGGCAGAATGGCTCTTCAAATGACGGACGAAATTGGAGGTTGTCGTCTGGCTGTCCGCAATGTTAATGTTGTATGTCTTGCAAAGCGCTGTTCGTCTTTTGCCATCGTGTGAATAATTCTTGAAGCCGAAAGCAATGACCCTCGGTACCCCTCCGGCTGACATTTTGATGTGATATCTGATCTAAGTGGGCGTGGTGTGCGTAAGGTACGAGGTATGACTGATGATAGTGTCGTGATCAACTTTAAAACATTTTTTTTATATATATTTTATATTAAAACTGAAAACATGATGTGATTAACACTCAAGTCATTCAAGTCATCGTGTCTCAAGTCAAGTCAAGTCCCGAGTCTTTAACTTCCAAGTCCGAGTCAAGTCTCAAGTATTTCATTTTATGTCAAGTCAAGTCACAAGTCATAAAAATAGCGACTCGAGTCGACTCGAGTCCAAGTCACCAAGTCACAAGTCCCCATGTCTGCTAAGAAGTAAATAAAAAAAAATAAAAAAACTCACTTAGCATTAAATAATTGAATAACTACATTTAAACCATTTAATTAAAAAAGAGGCATTTTAATAACTATAATTATAACAATGAACTTTTGCTCTTAAATGAAGAAACATTCAAGATTAAATGTGAAAAAACACATTTAAAGTTTGATGCTAAAATTCACCTCACTTTGTATACAGGCCTTCAATTAATTAACTCATAAATAAAACAATTAACCTTAAGAATTACATTTGCATAACATGGATTTAAAAAAAAAAAACCTAAAGTAAAATATACTTTGAACATATAATTTGAAGGAGGTATTTGCCACCTTAGTGTTAACTGACCTCTAGTGTGTAACACCTACTTGTCAGCAAATACAGCAGTGGTTCCCAAACGTTTAGATTGGCATACCCTCGGAGGCATTTCCACTTAGACTGCAGTCACACCTTTTCCATTAAGAGACAATATTTGACCCCTTAAATTGAAGGGGTCAAATATTTTCATTTTTAACCTTTATAAAAGACCCTAGTAAATGCATGTCATGTTTTGTCAAATTCTGAAAATTCCACTAAATGATTAATATAATTAAGCAATAAATTAAACTAAGTCAAATTTCAATCAGTATCAACAAAATCCATCTTTGCACTGGCAGTGGGACAAGCTGCATTTAGACGCATTTACACAGTATAGGCTAATGCTACCTCAGAGGTGCCCTGAATGCAATTACAATGGCATACTGTTATGAGATATTTTAAATAAAAAAATAATGGTAAAAAAACAGTGATACTTTTAAATTAAACTAAACTTTGCATGCAACCTACCAAATGCACGCTGCTTGGGTGGATGCAGTCAGTTTTGACCGCAAAAGATGAAACAATTTGTTTGGAGTCATGTATTTGACCTTTTAAAGCACTACAATCTTCCCGTTTTTACACTAGATGCTGCATTTTTTCTGTTAGAAATGTACATGCAAATGTAAATGTACATAAAAACGTACATGCGAGGTTTGTTTGCATACCTTGTCACCACACGTTCCCCCAGGGGTGTGTGTACCTCAGTTTGGGAACCACTGAAATGGAGCATGGGTCTTATGTAGACAACAGACTCAAAAAGAAATTCCTATTCCCATTTTGGACAACCAAAGGCCTGTGGAATTGGCAGCTCTAACAATGTAAATTTGAAACAGGCAACCAGTTGAAAATGGTTTGGTCACAAACTGGAGTATTGCTACTTTAAGAGAGGATGGGGTCATCCACAGGTCTAATCAAACTGTGCAATCCTCACCGGCTACATCAAGTAAACAAAAGACGCTTCAGGCATGGCTGTGACTTGATTTTTCCACAAAGTTCTGTGTGTGAATTTACCAAAACATCTGTTAAGACCCTCTGGGGTTCTCACCATTATTGATCATAGATTTTCTATAACTTTGTTCTTGATTACAGGATGTTGATTTTAAAAATAAAGCGCTACATCATTTATAAGTTTATACATTTACAGATAGGCCTAGTACTTGTTATACTTTACAATGCTGCACTATAGAAATGTATCCAAGAAGACCCCCCCCCAAAAAAACATGCATATGAATGGCAAACCATGCCAATGGCCACAACTTCTGTCCAAGGGTTTATTAGAGACAGTTGCATAAGTGAGGGCCACGCTGTTGTGGTAGAGAACAGAGATTAAGAGTGCCATTTAAAGGAATCAAATCACTGTAATTTGTACTCCGTACAAAGGGGCCATATCCGATTGCCAGCAGAAGTACAACTGTGTGGTTGTCGTTTTGAACATTCCACAGCTGGTGCTCAGTTGGCCCTCAAATTACACCTTAGCAGGGCCCCAAAAAGGCTCTACA